AGAACGTAGACACTCTTCTTACAACGGCGGAACTTGTTACACTCTTGACAGAAGTCATCATGATCCAGCGCACCTGCAGGACCCGAACTGAACAGTTTCATGCTGCCGTATAAGTATGAAGCCTAAAGCCATCAAAATTTCCAATTGGAACGCTTGCTCGCTCAAAAGCAAGAGCATCGAGTTCGTTGAATTCCTTAACGAACGAAACATCGATATCGCCATCATCGCCGAAACGCACCTGAAGCCCGAGATTAACGTCTTCCTTCACAATTTCCGGCTTGTGAGGTTGGATCGAACCATCTCCTGGGCAGGAGGAGTGGCCATCGCTCTAAGGAGGAACACTAACTGTCGGCTACTACCGAGATTCCAGCTGAAGATCATCGAAGCCGTAGGGTGGAAGTTTCTACTCCTGTTGGTCCCATCACCATCATATTGCGGCTTACTGCCCCAAGTAAACATCAGGGACGGGTCAGCAGCGGACCTGCGGCGAGATATTGTCAAACTAACACGACGGCGGGTGACCTGAACTTGGCGCTTTGGGCAACAGTTGGCGCAACCAAAATGGAACCATCCTGTTCAATGACCTGCAGGTGATGCAGTACAACCTATTGAGTCCGGACACTCTGACACTTGAGTGGGTCCGGTGCTCACGCCATCATCGACTTGGCGAACAATATCTTGCAACCTGTGGTTTACCAAGAACTCAGCTCAGACCAATATCCGGTGGTGGCCTAAGTGGGTTTCTTCGTAAACCGATTTGAAGCATCCTGACGCAACTAAAACCGCGCCGACTGGGCGCAGTTCCAACGCTGGGTTGACATCAGTATCGACTATGCCGTCCAGCCGGAAACGACCGACGACATCGACCGGTGCCTGCGCTTCACCGTTGAAAGGATTTCCCGGGCAACATGTTCCAGTATCCAGACAGGTGAGTAATACTCGGAACCTTAACAGGCCCACTAAAGACTTCATTAGACTCCTCAACACCATTCGTAGGCAGTACCAGCGTACCGGCCTGCCTCATCTGAAGACCAATTGCAACCGTTTAAACAAAATCATTCAAGCCAGGGGATGGTGGATCTAAGAAATGACGATTTTGCAAACAAGATTCGCTCCCTCCCAGATTGTGCTGAGCAGCCAAGCCAAGCAGCTAACCCCAGTTAAAAAGGCTAATGCTCTTGGTCTACAGTTTGTAAATTCACATTACCTTGGCCAAGCCACGATGAGTCCAAATGAGCCTGCAGTATCAGAGACAATGTCTAGAGTCGCTGCCACCCCCGTAGTTGTCCCTGACGAAAGTACAATATCGGCTGATGAGGTGATATCAGTCATTAAATCAACGAAGAATATGAAGGCTAATGTAGTGGTCAACCTCGAGGTGAAAAACTTGAGTGTTGAGTTCTTCGAGCATCTTGCAGCGGTCTTCAATAAGTGTGTGGTGCTTGACTACTTCCCTGCATGTTGGAATTTAGCCAAAGTCATTCCAATCCACAAGCCTGGCAAATACCCTACCAGTGCCAAAAGCTATCGCTCAATTAGCCTCTTGTCATCTATCTCGAAGCTATTCGAAAATTTTATACTGAGCCGTCTGCTGGTGTTTTCTAATAGGAAAAGCCACTCTACCATCCACCAACTCGCACGGGTTACTAACATAATCAAGCGAAACAAGTCCATTACCAATACATCTGCCATGGCATTGTTGGACGTTGAGAAGGCGTTCAACAATGTCTGGCATGATGGTCTAGTGTACGAGCTGCATCGATACAACTTCCCGATCTTCCTTTTTAAGATCATCAAAAACCACTTGTCGGGCAGATCTTTCCAGATCTTCTTGAACAATTCACCTTCTGATACATTCAACGTTGATGCTGGGGTTCCCCAGGGTAGCCTCCTTGGTCCTATTCTCTTCAATACCTTCACGTCAGATGTTCCTCCTCTTCCGGGTGGTGGTATTTTTCAATGTTTGCGGATGACACTGCAATCATCTATAAGGGTCGAATAATCCGTGCTCTGACCAAAAAACTCCAATAAGGTCTGGGTGTTCTGTTAGACTATTTCAAAAGCTGGAAAATTTGTATGAATGCAGCTAAAACACACACTTCCGCACCCCAATTCACCTCGGCTTATCCCGCCTGGTAACTTAAAAGTCAATCTTTATAATACTCCCATTGAATGGTCGAGTGAAGTCGTCTATCTTGGTCTCACCCTTGATAGCAAGTGGCTGTTCCGTACCAATGTGGACAAAACATCCACCACGTGCAACATCTTGATTAGGTCGCTCTACCCACTTATCAACAGAAAGTCCATCCTTTCCCAAACAATCTTGCCGTCCACAAGCAAATCATCCCCTCTGCCATAGAGTATGAAACGCCAATCTGCACTCAAAAAATTCCACACGTTTGATCGAAGTGTTTAAACACTTTATTTTTTAAATGCACAATCACATTTACTTTAAGTGTATTTCACCTTGGTTAAATGCAGTGGCGTCTCGTCCATATGTGCACCTCGTGCACTGCACAGTCTCAAATTTTCAAAAAGTAAAATTTATATGTCATAAAAATTGGCAAAAAATTAATACTCAATTAAAACCATTTTTGTCCGCCTTATTTATTGGTTTCATATGGATAGTAATTGAATTATCCACCACATCACTGGATAGTAGCTGAATTGTTTACCACATCGCTGCTCAACCTCCGTTTTACCCACCACTGAAAGAAATGTACGTAAAACAGAAGCGAGGCATAGCAATCTTATTTTCACGTACGGGCACGCTGGGATTTTACCACGTGCAGACAACACTTTTTTTGGGCTTCTATGGCGAATGAGCGACACAAAACAAACAAGGAAAATATGCCTTCGTTCTACCAAAGCCACCGCATGCTAAGTTCTCCCAGTCTGAGCACTTTTGCTTGTGCACCAGAAACGCTCGTATTTACAACCAGATCAGTTGTATATGTATTGAAGTCCCGTAAGCATAATTGCCGCTGTGTTAGTGTTTATTTTGTGCACTTCTATCTTTGCACAGTTTAAAGAGAAGAGAATAAATTGGCACGTATAGGCTACGTCACGTCGCATTTGAGTTTCTCTCTGAATTGATTGAATCTTGGAGAGCCGTCATTCGTTGCATACCTACCTACACGCACACATCGAATTTTTAAATTTTTAAATTTTCTCACTACCATGTCTGCATTTCATTCAGTAGCCTCAGAGCATTGATGGAATATTGTTCATAGCATAGTGCAAAATTAAATAGGAATCATGGAACAGGATATTGTTGATGACCTCCTGAAAATACCGTTTGCCAGAAGGTGAGTAACGATGACAAATATCATAAACATGAGACTTAAAAAGAAAATCAATGTTTCTATGCAAGAGTTAGCAAAACTGGTAGCAGAACTGTTTCCCATCATCATTTCGTTTATTTTTTATGCAGGTACCCCCGTCGAAAGATTTGTATCCCATTTTTTTTTATTATGCATCAAAATTGGCTTCTACTGTTACAGACAAAATATAAATAAAATAGGTGCACAACTAGTGAATTTTCTCACGTGACGCCACTGGTTAAATGTGTTATGCACGTTAATTTCTGGTGCTTCAAACTTTGAAATGTTGAAAATCTTTCACTATCTATTCAAGTGTTTTGCACATTTAATCACACTACTATTCAAAACAGATGGATTTAAAGTGTTTTGCATTTTAATACGATGTGAATTGTTTGCTCAGAAAGGTAAACATCGAAAACAAGAGTTGTGACTTTATCCTATCAACCCGCCTCATATATGAGAACAACCGTGGCACAGTGAGATCGAAAGAAGACTCCGACAGCAGCACACTCCAAAAGTCAATGATCGAATCCCAAATCAGACCCATTAAAAATATATCAAGCAGATAGAAAGCTCCTGCCTCTGGATGTTTTGTTTATGTATGTGTCGATTATTTTAGAGTCGATAAAGTAGAATATTGTACAATATTGAAGTATGATGTGCAAAGCTATTGATATCATATGAGGCACATAGAATCCATGATACATAGCCACATGATGATGACGTGTGGATTTTTTTGAGTGTGGGAGAGCTGCACTAAGTGGCATCATATCAAACCCCAAAGGATCCAGAACAAGATCCTTCCCAAACGATCCAGAACAACAGTCCCCCGCGGACTCGGAATTCTGGCTCGTTTTTCCTTTCAAAAAATAAATTTTCCATCTCACTGTTGGGGGGATTGATTGCTAAACTGCTTATTCCTCAAGACATCCAACGTCTACAATCAACCATTTCTGCGCAAACAATAAAACGCGCGTTTTGATACCCCTGGCACCACTGTGCGACTCTCTAGGTATGTGGTAAACTTAAAGCTAGCAAACAATCAAATTCTTCTACACTTTGGCCCAGCATAATGCTACAAATGCACCCAAAATTAGTGATACGCTTTTTGGGATGAATTTTGTGTGATGAAGTATTTTTTTCTCGGAAACGTACCTTCATTGACTTGAGTGACACGCAAACACGTGACACATGGAGAAATACGAATCAATCAGGTGAAATAGAAAAATTGCAAGCACTTTTGGGTGTAGCACAGGTGGGGTGTTGATGTCAATTTCATTTTTACAACTGCTACACATTTCCCTATTGCAGCGATAGAAGATTTTAACGGCTCCTGGTCATGTGATTGATTTGTGAGTGTGCGTAGGGAGGAAATTCAGTTTTTTTTTTGTGCATCGAAAATGTATCCTTTCTCCAATGTTATCAATTGTCAGCCACACCATCGAACGACACACTCTTGTCAAACGATAACCCACCACAGCGCACAGCCCATCACATCGCCGCCGCATACCTATGTGCACTTACACGTACGAACTCCTCACCGAAACGAAGCTGTAAGTATAGATATTGGCTTTCGTCGCAGGTGAAGTTTTGCTGGTAGAAGAACCGATCGCAGTTTATCGTTGATATTTGGACCGACGTGAGGTTGCCGTTAGTGTAGCGTGAGTGCTTTTACCCGCCCTGTCAATGTGTTGTTTCATAGATATAACAATTGACCTTGGAAACGAATTGCTGTTTTTTTTTAGGGGTGCTGATTGAAAGTGATAATTATATTTGACGTGAAGAGATGGTGTAACGTTATCGGATGAAACAAAACTCTCATGTGCAGTGGAAATAATTCGATAATTATTACGAGCAATGATCTAACAGTGTAGCTAATAAATTACATCGTGGGATTTATTGTGTTTTTGCTAATCTACCTGAGTCATCCTGACGTCAGTCAGCTGCGTGAACAAATCGGTTGTGGAAGGTGCAATGTGAGTAACTGACAACGTGAGTTGAATTTGAATTATGGATGAATAAACACTCTAGCTAATTTTCAACCTCGTCTCGGATGAAATCATCAGTTCTGATTGATTTACCAAGTATCTGCAAGCGAAACTAGTGCCCCAGGTTCGAAGAAACCTTATCGAAGTGTGAAACCAAAAACAAAATGTTTAACCCTTACTGGTTACTGTGCCGATGATAAGAAACCTTATCAGGATGTAACCGAATGCAGCACCGAACGGATGTTGGGTGACGACACCAATTGGCTCGCACTGCTTCGTTTATCTGTTTCGGTACTTTACCGGTATGGCGTCATTGTAAATAATTCCGCAACCTTGTCAACCGAGCCGCTATAGGTGCAATTCTAAAATGCATAGGACCGGTACGAGGCACCACGATAGTGTGAGAAGGTTTAGGTCGTGCTTTGCGGCGTTCAAGGGGAAGGTTCTCGCTGTGCTACAATGCCCTGAGCGCGTGCAGGGTGTTACCGATAGATCGATTCAAGGTGTGCAATATGGGACGGCTTGCGGTGTGCTTATCGCCTTTCAAGCCATATGGTGTTGTAAGCTGTGTTGGGGTGAACTGGTGTGAACATTCTCTGGGTTTTGAGGTTTCCTAACATATTTCTTTCGAATACAAGGCAATCGATTGAATCACTGTGCTTATGGAATCTTCCAAAAGCAACTGAGCAGGGGGCAGAACGATTAATTGTGGATTAATAAATGTGTGACTAGCTTAGCTGATGATATGATATTCATAATTGGTGTCTTCGGTAACGTTGTTTTTAACTTGTTAAATATGACAATTTAACCAGGTTTGCAAACAAAATCGAACTTGTTACAGTTACAGATATAAATTCCCTCTAGAGTTTACACTTTCTTCACAGCAATATAAATGAGCGAAAGCCAGGCGCCCACGTCTTAGTTCGCCTTTTTGTCCACCTAAAATATTCATAAGTATTACAATCAATCAAGAGTTAATGAACAATCAATGAAGCATCCTATTACACTAGCAACCCCGCAATCTGATGCTATCATAATTTTCAGCAATGTCAGGAATGCTCACAAGCCCTCAACATATGCAAGAAAACTTACTACTACCTCGAGGTATCTTCCAAATGAGCTTCAAAATTGCATTTTTTTTTTAAATCAAATTTTAAATTCAGTCCTCTATATCCGTAATACGCGCGTGAGGCTCAAACCTTTGTAGGCTACTCTTTTTTGACGTAGGACTACGTCTGTGATTTCTATATGGGGATACACTTTGTGAAAACTGAAAATGGAACATGTAACAAAATTATGAAAGATTTTGACCGTTAATAACTCACCAATCGATCAGAAATATTCCTACGGATCTGTTAAATTTAAGAATTTATCATTTTTTTTAAAAATGTTACTATTGAAAATTGCACGAATGCAACTGTTGCTATGATAGTTAAAATAATCACCGATTGCCTGCGAAAAGTGATTTCCCTGACACAGATTTCAAAGTTGAATTCCATCCGGTCTCAACAAACGATGTTTATTCAATCACCGCATGGTGATTGGTGATATTCTCCAGTTCACAACGAAAGACTGCCTGCAAGCAGCGAGCTGCAGCCTACATCACCATCCATAGAAGGAGAAAGAAGTCGCACAGCTATTGATCGGAATCAGTAGCTCTTACTGAGTTGCAATGGGCCATATATGTTAAGCGCGTCATATTAAAGAGTATAAACAGAGAGAACTCCGCTCAAATTCCTATTCCTACAAAAAAGCACAAGCTCCTGCTCCAGTTAACAAATAAGATTTATTATATAAGACCACGTAGTCCTACGTCACCATTGCGTACAACCCCATAGGGCTGTCCCTTGTAGTTTTTTAATTAATCTACTGCTATTAAATCAAATATTAAAAATCCATCAACACCATCGTGGCGAACAAAAATAGTTTCTGCAGTGCTACAATAATTATTAAAAAGTCATTATGACAGCTATCCATAGAAAATAATCCATTATAGATAACTTCGTCAAGATAAAAAAAATCACTGATTAACTGTTCAAACGACAGATTTAACGTGTGAAATGCAGTGTCTTTTAAATTCTGTAAGTGTTGCTGAACGTTTGATATGTCTAGGCATCGAATTGAAAACATTTATTCCTTTATAATATAATGAATTTTGTGAAGCACAAGTCAAGAAATGTGGTGTTCTTATTTCAACCGCGTTTCTAGTATTAAAGGGCGAACACGAAATTATTGCGACACATTCAACAGGGCATAACTTTTTTACTATTGGGTAAAAATCAACCAAATTTTGCACACTTTCTCATTGATGTGTATTGTATACATGCTGTCAAACTCGAAGTCGTGTTTTTCGATTCAACGAAAATGGAGGTGAACCAACGCGAGTTGAGAGAACCAATTCTTTCCAAACACCTGGAATTTCCTGACCTGTCGCACCGGCAGTTGGGAAAAATGTTGAACATTCACCATTCAACCGTCTTCAAAGTGTTGAAGCGGTTCCAGGAGCGGTTGACGTTGGACCACGGCAAAGGAGCTGGAAGAAAACCGTAGAGTCGCAGAGCTACGTCCAGAATGCAAAGAAGAGAGCTGGACTACATACATACAAGGTACAGAACTTCCCAAACCGCGATGAGCGGCAACAATCGACGGCTAAAACTCGGGCACGGAAGCTCTACGAGAAGATGCTGACAAAATATGGCTGATGTGTGATGGACGACGAAACGTATATAAAAGCCGATTTTAAGCTAATTCCGGGGTTGGAGTTTTTCACCGGCAAGATCAAGTTCGATGTGGACGACAAATTTAAGGAGAAGAAAATGTCGAAGTTCGCCTCCAAATATCTCATTTGGCAGGCCATCTGCTCTTGCGGACTGAGGAGTGAGCCTTTCGTGACAAAGGGCACAGTAAATGGCGAGATCTACAAATCTGAGTGCCTCGAGAAGCGCCTTTTGCCGTTCTTGCAGCAGCACGACGAAGCTCCGCTATTTTGGCCAGATTTGGCATCATGCCACTATTCTAAAAGTGTCCTGGAGTGGTATGAGGCCAATTCTGTCCATTTTGTTCCAAAGGACATGAATCCGCCAAACTGTCCGGAGCTGCGCCCGGTGGAGCAGTACTGGGCAATAATGAAGTGGGAACTTCGGAAGAGCAAGAAGACAGTCAAAGACGAGAAGGACATGTTAAGAAAATGGAAAAAAAAACTGAGAAACTGGTACCGGATGACACTGTAAAGACTTTGATGGAGGGCATCAAGCGAAAATGCGTTCAATTTTACACTCAAGGCTCCATCGGTTAACTTTTCTTTTGATTTTTGAAGTAAATATATGTATAAAACTACCCTCAAATTTTGGTTTGATTCTAAACATAAGAAAATTGGCATGACATTTTCGGTGTCGCAATAATTTCGTGTTCGCCCTTTATATCTTTGAAAGTCACTTCCTCTTTCAATTCGATCACACAAATATCGAGGCAGCAAACCGTTAACTACTTTAAAAATGAACACCATAGTCAAATATACAATTCTTTGCTTCACCGACAACCATTGCAAGGCGTCTAGCTTCAAAGTTGATGAAGTGAATCTATTACATTTCAAAATCAAACGCATTATTTTATTCTGCAAGCGCTGTAATCTCGATATGTGTGCTTCATTGACCAGAAATAAAATGGAAGGGGCAAAAGTCTAGACGAGGAGAGATGATTGATTTGTATTGCTGTATTTTACTGGCAATAGTTAAATCGTTTTTCAGTTTTCCATACTTATTGGCAATTTTATTGATAACATTGTCAATGTGAGAATTGAACTTAAGGTTGTCAAAAATAATCACGCCAAGATATTTAATCTCCCGAACGCGATCAATAGTCATCATCATCATCATCAATTTCAACAGAAACGTTCTCATTTAATCGATTCCGCAAAATTACCATAAATTTAGTTTTACTAGTATTCAAGTTCAACTGCTTGTACTTCAACCATCTACTTAAAGAACGCAAATCTTCATTCAAGTGTAAAACGGCATCATCTAAATCCTTAGCTGCAATGTATAACACAGTATCATCTGCAAATAGATTAATGTCGCAAAATCGTGAAACACGTCGCAAGTCATTAATGTACATAATAAATAACAAGGGCCCTAATACAAATCCCTGGGGCACTCCAAGGTTATTCCCCACGGGACTGGAAGCAGAATCATTAAAAACAGTCCGTTGAGTTCTGTCAGACAAATAGCTTTCAAACCATTTATATGCAGTGTAACAGTCACTCCATGTTGTAAATAGTAAATTAGCCATAAATTAAATAAGGATGAAATAGATCTAATCCATACGCCGAAAACGATGCCTGTAGCAAAACGATTTACTGAGTAATGCCACTTGACCTTGTGCAATTTCTCCCAAAGAGAGAGTTGTGGCTACCCCGACTTTGAACGAAGGACCAGCGATCGGAATAATCTCTCCCCTTGCCGATCTAGTTCGAAGAAGTTCCCGGGAAAATCGAACTTCCGTTAAGTTCGGCCGAGGTCCCCTTCCCTAATCTGAGGGTCACGGCTTCGCTTCACTTTTGTCCGAACCGCCGATTACAGTGTTTCGTTTTGTTTGCGTGATTGTTTCGTTTTGTAAAGTGAGTTAAAGCAACGTGGTTTTACTTGTAAAGGGTGATACGGTCAAAATTTGGTCAAGGGAAAACGCGTGTAAATCGGTGAAATCGTTTATTTAAAAAATCAAATTAAATTTCTTTTTCAAGTTCAATTAGTATAAAATTCAGGAAAAATATTCAGTTAGGCTTCCGCTTTTCCAAATCCGAATTGCCGGGCCTTACGCTTGACCCCTGCCATCAGATTTTGTACAGCCACCTTGTCCACCTTCTTCGCCGCAGAAATCCAGTTTGCCTTGAACTGCTGCTCGCCCTTAGCAGTTTTTTTGGTCTTCTTTAGGTTCCGCTTGACAATAGCCCAGTATTTCTCAATTGGGCGGAGCTCTGGCGTGTTGGGAGGGTTCTTGTCCTTGAGA